AATTTTTCTTGCAGGTACCTGTCCAGATCTCCCAACACCATTTGGTGAAGAGGCTATTTTTACTCCATTTTATGTTCCTGTTCCTTTTGTCAAATATTAATTGATCATAGAGACACGGGTTTATTTCTGGGCTCTCTATTCTGTTCCACTAATCTATGTGTGTGTTCTTATGCCAGTACCAGACTATCCTGATTACAGTGGCCTTATAACGTAGTTTGATATCAGGTTTGTGATCCCTCCTTGAAACCATCTGTCCATTTGTGTGAGGAAGTTTAATGAGAACTAGATGTTTTAACTTGCAAAGTCACCAGAGTATAAATCACAGCACACTCTGAACAACTGAATGAGGCAGCACGTGACTACTCCTATTTGCAGGCCCTTTTCTGCCCACAGGACACTTAACATATGACCAGCATCTACTTATGGACAATGTGAGAATACCAATATCATGCCATATATTATCTAATAGCAAGGCTTCATTTATTTCCTATATTCCCATAAGAATGCTACACAAAAATAAAGATTCTAACAATTTCTTCCTGTACCCAGATGGGTGTACGTATCTCACTTTGTAAACCAGTGCTCTGTGCTGATAATCCTGCTTCTGCTCACAGGTTTTGTTTTTTTCTTCATTTATGTAAAGTGCAGTTACAGACTTTTTAAAACTAAGTGGTAATGAACCTGCCTGCATAGTATTAAACCCATGGGACTTTCACTGGAGTCATGTGATAAAGTTACATTTTAGATGCTCTCAATCCGTTCATTCACAAATATTGTTTATTTTTTACTTAAAGAATGCTAGTGTGATATATTACAATGATGGCCCCCATTCTTCTCCTCTTCGTATATCTGCATCTATTTATGAGCTTTTTAATATTTTTCCACTAAAAATGGGTGGACCTGATATAATACTTGTCACTCACTTCAACCATGTGACTTGCTTAAGCCAATGGATTGTTAAAAGATATTACATAAGCAGTGACTTGAAGTGGGCTTGTTCATTGGAGTTTGTGATTTTGCACTTATGCTATTGTCATGAGAAAAATAAGTCCCAGGTAGTCCACTGGTCTGTAGAGTAGGACAAGATACACTCAGAAAAGAGCTGAGATGCCCCGGTGACCATGCAAGGATGCGAGCCCAGGTCAGCCAATGGCCAGCTAACCCACAGATGCATCAGTAAGAACAGCTGCGATCAATGGAGCCCAGGTGACATCAGCTGACCCCTACTCTCAGGACATCTGAGCTAATAATAATTGGTTGCTATTTTAAGTTTCTGCATTTTAGGTGGGTTTTGCTTGGCAGTAGCTAAATAATAATAGCCAGCCTCTAGTAGATTTTACTGGTAAAATGGTGATTTCCATTAAAGGCATTTACAATTTCAGGACCGAGGGACTGTACTTTTCCCCCAGTTGTAGCCTCTTTCCATTTCTCACCCCATTACATTCCAGCTCTTAACTCTTCTTTCTCCTTTAAAGATATTTCAACACTATTTGCCACGGTAAATCTCGATTTGCTTCTTAAATTTTCTTGTCTCTCCTACTCCTTCTACAAGTGTCTATGTTTTTATGGTTCCTCTTCCTCAATTTTCTAGATCTTTTTTTATTTGCATCAATTAATCATGAACCATATATATATATAATCATTTTTTTCTTACCATTTTAACCATCACTGATAAAGTGATATAGTGAGTATATGTTCAATAAATTAACCATATTAAATGTTCATCGATTAAGTTTTAATTAAAAATAGAAATGGTCTGATTCAACAAGCAATATGAAGATATTTTCAAAAAGTTGGAACTAATTAGTATCTTCAGAGCATAGTCTCTTATTACAAATGCAGTAAAATTAAACATCATTAACAAGATATGAGTAAATAAAGGAATACATTTGGAAATATAAAGACCTGTCACAGTATCTCCTATGTAAAAAGAAGAAAAGCTCTAATGGAAGTTATGTCTTTGGCTGAACAATAGTAAAATCTCTATTAGCTATAATTTTTATATAGCAATAGTAACTACTCATCACAAGTATAGAAACAATGTAGAATAAACAATGGAACAGAAATTTCAGAAACATATGCAAACCTGTTCTGACACTAAATACATGAGAGAGGCACCATTTGGATCTGTGAGGAAAGATGGACCGCTTAATGGAAAATTGTTTTTCCCATTAGGAAAAAGAGGGTTGGATCTTTACTTCATGTGATGCAAAATAATTCCAGGACCTAAATGTTAGGCAGAACTTTTATATCTTTATAGGAAGCATTCTGGGATATATCTATTATATATTGTATGGCTTATGATCCTAGAATTCTTATAAAGTCTGTGTTTTCAAATATTCATATATAGAAAATCTAAAGAATTTCTGTAACTCAGTAAGAAAACAGCAACCTAAAGGAGATTAAGTAAATGAAATGAATGGAAATTCCATAGGAAAAAACTAGAGTACTTAATAAACATATAAATATGCAATTAAATTTCACTAGCTAACAGGGAAATCCAAATAGTAGCACTATGAAACACTTTACACCAACCATAATGGCTAAAATGAAGTATTCCATCTATCCCAAGTTGTAAATTTCAAACCCCAGTGCCGGTGGCTCTAGGGTTTCAGTTTGACAATATTTTGTTAGGTTGAAGTTGCACGTAAAACCCATTTCAGTTATCCCACTCATCATTCACTCTAGAGTAGTGGTGGGCAGAGTGGGGCCCCGGGGCCAAACCCCGGCAGCCGCCTGTTCCTGTGAACAAAGATTTGTCGGCACCCGCCCCACTTATTTGTGTATTGCCCGTGGGCTCTCACACAACAGCGAAGTTCAGTAGTTGTGATACTGACCATGTGGCTGGCAGAGCCTAAAACGTTTACTAACTGGCCCATTGTGGAAAAAATTTGCTGACCTCTGGTCCAGACTAACTCTTATACTTTTGTACTAAAATCAATGTGTAACAGTTTATATAGCAGTATTGCTGACAATAACAAACTGGAAATAAGAAAAATATATATGAAAGCAAGGAGAAAAAAGTGAATTATGTGAAATACCCTGACAACTTAATGCTATGTAACAGTGAAAATGGATCAAAGTAGGAGATGCATTGCCATGAGCAAATCTCAACTGTGTGACTAAAAAAGTGAGTGTCAGAAAATATATACACGGTGTGGTTCCATTTGTGTAAATGTTAAAAATGTGACAAGCCACACATACGTTTCTATACTAAATGTAAGTACTTGAATGGTTGTGGCACACACTGAATTCAAGAAAACTGTTTCCTCAAAGAGCAGGGAAACTCGGTTGAGATGGGACCTTGTATATCTCCTATGTGGTATATCTGTAGGAAATGATGTCATAGCAATAGCTTCTAAAAACCATAAAAATACCATAATTTTATAAAAATAGGAGCATGGAATTTGAAATTTGATAACAAGTTTTAAAATACCTTAAGTTGGCCTGGAAAAATACATGTCATTGGCATTCATATTCAGTTTGAATTGAAGGGAAATACAATTGGAAAGAAACCCTTGCATAAAAACTTATCCTATACACTCATTCATTAATTAACCCAGCTTTTTGTTGTGGCTACTTGAATTTCAACTAATATGTAATTAAATATTTAAGCAATGGCTGAACTGTGGAGACTGCAGGTGTGTTCGATTATGAAATTTTCTCCTAAGCTTAGGAGCCCAGAGCTACCTGCATGCTTTATTCATTTGCCAGTACTCCTGAGTGATGCTTTTCATCTCTAGCCATTCCATTTCTGAGGGATCACTGAGAATCATCTACATCCATTTGCTTGACTAAAATTTGTACAAATGACTTGGTATTTTCATAAGCATATGGCTTTTTTAATCTGCCCCTTTCTACACACACAGTTTTAAGTGAAATTGCCAACTGCTGAAGCATTTATTTGCTCACATATGGTAACTGTGACATTGTGCTCCGAGGCCAGTTTCTGAATTTCCATCCTCAAGTGTGTAACTGAAAATTGTAATTATTTATCATGTAAATGTTTGCACAAATGTGAATGGACACAAATTTGAACATCCAATAGATTGTCAGCGTTAGTCACAATTGTGAATTGTGTATCTCATCTAAAATGTATGCATTCTCTTCTGTTAAGAGAGATGGAGATAGAAAGTGAAAAGAGGGAACAGAGGGAGGAAGAAGGAGAGGGGGCAATGAGAAGGAGAGGGAGAGGAGAAATGGGGAGAAAGATGGGGCGAGGGAGGACAGGACAGAAAGAGAGAGAGTCAAGTAAAACAGTGTTGGGGAATGATAACAAAAGAATTGATCACCAGCTGGTCTGTATGAATATTCAATAGTACAGTTTAACCTGGAGGCATTTATTTGCAAAATATTTATCTTTGAATGTGAATACAATAACTCATCAAATATAGTAACTAATTACTTAAAGTCTTTTTATTAAAACAAAGTTTATAAAATAAATTTTATGAAAATTATTGTTATCTTCTGATACATTCTTGCTAATATGATATTTTGCCATTTTTTAGTATTTAAAAAAATAAGATATTCTAGTTTCTTTGGCAACAGGAGTTGATGACTCATACAGATCTGACAGTGTGTTTAATACTTGTTTCTATTTTTTCTTTTCTTTTCTTTTTTTCCTACTGAGAAGGCTCCCTGATATTTCTTTCTTACTTTAAATGACAAAACAATACACCCAATCTTGCCCCAAGCACGCCCCCCTCTCCAAGTAGTTCTGAACTATAGGATGAAATAATGCAGTGTGCATGGAAACTTTGTTCAAGTAAATAAGACTAGACAGAGTAAATGTATTTTCATTTTCATAATAATATGTAGGTAATTGTGTAAATATGTATGTTTTATCCCACTATAAGGGAATGGGATGATATTTCTGATTCAAAATTTACTTCTCTCAATACAGATTTCTCTCCTTTGAAATGATGTTACTTACTGGAGTTTTGTATTTCTTGTATTTAAAATATTTCTTATTTTCAAAAGAATGTCATTTTATATTTCAGGAATATACAATAGATGTTTTCTTTCGGCAAAAATGGAAAGATGAGAGATTAAAATTTAAAGGTCCTATGAACATCCTTCGACTTAACAATTTAATGGCTAGCAAAATCTGGACTCCAGACACTTTCTTTCACAATGGGAAAAAATCAGTAGCTCATAACATGACCATGCCAAATAAACTTCTTAGAATCCAGGACGACGGGACTCTGCTGTACACTATGAGGTATGTTTGGAGGTTCGGTATGTTGCATTTAGATGCTGAGAAATTCATGTATCAGAAAACCAGCCAACCTCATTGTCAAATGTTAGCACAAGTTGAACATTTTCATAGCAGAATACTGAGGTACCTATAATATTCTTTGCAATTGCATACATATTAAATATATAAATATCAATAATATTTATGACTTTGATTCTCATCTTAGTGTGCTAAAATTTAAGAAGTGCCTTTACTATTAAGAATTGATTTTTTGGCTATTTATTTTTCATACTATATTTTAATTAAATATGGTTTAATAGCATGACAATTTTTTCTTTATACCAGCATGTAATTTTATTTTTAATATCTCATTAGATAGCCCATCAAAAATTTAAGGGATTTTTAAACAAGCTTATACTTCATTTAATGTTTTGTTTCTTTTAATGAAGCTACTTGAAAGAAAAAAACATTATCTTTTAAAACTCAGAGTTTTTTTAATAAAGCTTGCAAGTAAATTGGATATCATAAGCATATGTCTCAGATTGAACCATGTAAAATTGCTGTTTTATAAATCAAAAAATGTCATGTAACATCGACTTCATTGATTCAACCTTAAAAAATTAGCTAAAGGAAGGTTGTAAATGCTGAATAGACTGAATGTACTGTTGTTAGCACCACTGTCCCATTTTAAATATTCCCATGAGCTCATCTTTTGAAATAGGTTTCTTTTAAATTTGATTTTGTATTATGTTAAAAAGAAATCTGATTATTTCTTTTTAACATAATACAAAATCTAATAAAGAGATGTATAATGTAAAATTAAAGTGTTGAAAATACCTTAAAGCATAGATGACTTTCATCAACATCATTTTAGACAGATGTGCATTGCAGGCATTTGATGTATTTTTATTTCATATGCAATCTTATATTGTAGATTTCAGTTGTGAAAATTCTTGAAGAAAGGCCTTTCATGAAGTCCTGGTCTTTAAAGAAAAAAATCTTGCGGACTCATTACTAGTGACCTTTACCTAAAATGGAAGTGTTAGCTATTTCTTCTGTCTCTTCCTCTGAACTTTGCAAGACAGAGGCAGTACCCCTGTGATTTTGCACACTTTGATCATTCCTATGGATTAAGACAATAATTGGAAATTTGGAGTTTAAACAAAATACAGACAGTGAGCACACATAGTTTTGGGAGTATTTCATGGAGTTCTATTAGAAGTAGATAGTCTATAATTAAATTTTGCCCACATTTGTTTTGGTCCTGAGAAATATTTTCATTTGTTCGATTTAACACATGTCTTATCTACTTTACCTTTGTGAAATGGAATGACTAATAACCTTATTATAAATTTGCTGATTACTTTGTACTCTGGTCACGAGGACACAGAAAAATGCTTGGTATGTAACATTCATAATGCAGCTTAGTGGCAACGAGATGTTTTTATGAGATACATCTAAATGTGTATCTGTGTAAAATGCACACCCACAGTTTTGCCCTAATCTTTCAGGAAAAAAATTCATTTTAATTTTGTCACCCAAATATTTATTTATTTATATTTAGAAACAAAACTGTTGATCATGTTTTTCTCTAACATTTTAAATAAGAATAGTGAAGTTAATGGGAAAGTAGTTTTTCAAAAATGCATATAAAACTTCTTTACTTTTTAACAAGCCACAGAGTAAAGTATGGTTAAATATACCGTATTTGTAAATAAATATTATTTTTACTTATACTCTGATTTTGCATATGTTAATGTCTTCTAAAGTATGATCTAAATGTGAAAGAAAAAATATGTTCACATGTTAATTAACCTAATAAGATGCTATAAAGCTCTCCATCATCATTAATTCTGTTGACAACAGTAAGGAGTGATTTGTCTTCACTTGCCAATTTACTTAAACAAAGAGTGGAATTTTGACTTTTAGGCTTACAGTTCAAGCTGAATGTCCAATGCATTTGGAGGATTTTCCAATGGATGCTCACTCATGTCCTCTGAAATTTGGCAGCTGTAAGTATGGGGATGAAGTTACATGTTTTGGGTCAACAATATCAAGGATAGTCAGCTTTACTGCTTAATTTTATATTTTTTATATTGTTGAATGCTCAATTCTTGAACAGTAAGATACAAAAGTAAATTTCTATCACAAAACAAATTGGCTAACCCTACTGTACTCTCAAATATCATTATATTTTAATCCAGGTATTTATATTATAACTTGCATGATTGATAATTAAAAACATCATGTGTTTTTGTAAATATGTAAATTAGACCAGGAGCTCTTTGATAATCAGGACTGTGCCATTTCTCGAGTTTGCCAAGTGCTAGTACATTAAAACATGCAACATAAGTGTTTTATTTTTGTCAACTAAGTATGAATTGTAAAGGATAGATTCCATTGTTTATTAAAGTAGCTAACAGCCTGTTGCAAATGGCAGGCACAGATGCTGGATCTGCGCAATTATTTTTCAGCTTTCTAACTAATAGAAGGTGTTTTTTTAAATTTCCCAAAATAAATTTGAAAGAGATATGTGGCTAGATTGCTACATGCAGACATCTTCTGTGTACATAGAATATTGCAGAAATGGCTCTGTGCATTTGGCCATATTTAGGTCACTGAGGTTATATCTTGTATGTCAAGCAGAAGCATTTACTCTCCCAGGGTAATTGGAAAGAGGGAAGGTCAAGTCATCTCCCTAGGCCCACAAGGCATGCAGAGCAGGTTCAGGATAAATTCATAGACGATACTAGACAGCTTCTCTCTTGTGTGAACGCGTCCCATCGCCTGACCTTTTAAGAAACACTGCTTTTTCCAGCACCTCCATCCTTGTCCATTTGGGGCAGCTTTTGACATTTCTTTTTCTTGAACAGAGATGCAGTTCTCAAACCTGATTAAAAATATTTCTGACTGAGTAATGTGCCTTCTCCCCACAGACTGTAGCAAGTGAATGGGAAGGAAAGAATGATGGTTAATATGAATGCAAAAGCCTCTAATTATTTTGATGACCATAGTTTTGTAGAATGAGAAGTTCAGATTTGTTTTTTTCTGTTCTTTCTTACAAAAGGTGTCAGCTCTCAATTTTCTTTGAGAATCTCTTCTTTGTTTAACTACAAAGCCTTCCTTTATTGTCATGGAAACCACCACTTCAATACTGGCATTTCTCCCAAAATTATTTAAGATAGTCAATCATGTTACACAACGTAAATATGATGTTGAAAAAACTCAGCAGATGTCGCAGGGAAAAACACATTTGCATTGCATAAGTGGCATTAGAGAGAAAAGGGGAAAAAAAAACCTTGACTCCAAAGAAAGGATATATTCATGATGCAGTAATGGTGTAAGAAGGAAACATATTTTTCAGTGGACAAGTTAGAGCTATTAAAACACCAGATGTTGTGTTACCATTCTGGATATGAAATAAATACATCTGAAGTTATTTTAAATGAAAATAAAAAATCTTTATAGTTCATCTACAGAGTAGTAGAATATTACTTGCTTGAGAATATGGTTGTCTGCACCTAGAAATGATATGGGTAAAACATAAAATCTGTTGTTAGACATTCTCTGTTTAATTGTGTTTTATATATTTTTCTTTATGTTTATTTTCTGACACTTTTGTAGTCTTTGCCAACAATAGATGCTTGATGCATAAGTGTTAAAAGCATGAACACCAGAATGTAGTAACGGACCAACAAGCTCACTCCAACCTTGAGATACTGGCGCAACAAGTTTTGTCAGAAGCAGTCATGACTTTTTCTGCCCATTTTTTACTGTCTTACTTAAAAGCCCCTTTAGTTTCCCCTAAATGATAGAATTTCTGGAACATTATCATTGTCCTGAATGAAAGAAACATCTTTTCTATAGGTTTATGATTTTGAATTCATTTTTTGTTTTAATTTTATTGCCTCACATTTATATATATATATTTGCTGTTGAACTTGACTGAAAACTTGCTGAATGGGCTTCCAGATGTATTCTGTGCATTAGCCCCAAACAAATAAAAAGTTGTCATTTTGGATAAAAATGAATGATTAAAGAATATTTTGGATGTTTTTTGTTACCAACTATTAAGAATCAGTCCATATGCATTTGATGTTTAATACTCAATAGTACTAAAAATGGGTTATTTAATGCAATTAAATAAAACGATTTAATAAAAACATAATTTAGAGTGAGAATTCAAGATGAAATTGGCAATACAAATGGTCTTTACCTCTTTTTCATAGTTTACTGAGAAACATTGCTCTGGCCCCCTTTAAGGGTGTGTTAGTGTACCAGGGAGTGCCTCTCATCCTCATTGCATAACTTCACTACATCTTTTCTCTCCAGGTTCCAAATCTAAAAATACATACCCTGCCCTGGCTGGTGTGGTTCAGTGGACTGAATGCCAGTCTGAGAACCAAAGGGTCTCTGGTTCAATTCCCTGTCAAGACACATGCCTGGGTTGTGGGCCAGGTCCCTGGTGAGGGGATGCAAGAGAGGCAACCACACACTGATGTTTCTCTCCCTCCCTTCTCCTTCCCTTCCCCTCTGTCTAAAAATAAATAAATAAAATCTTTAAAAAATAAAAATCAAAAAAACATATTCCTATACAACCAATGAAATGACTTACTTGCTTTTGTATAAAAGACGTGGGAGAGATCGGTCAATTTTCTTTAACATATTATTTTGTTTCTGTACAGATTTTATCTTCTATGATGGAAATTAAGATAATAAAATATTATGGGTTTATTCATTAACCTAGCAAGAATGAATTGAAAACGTTTTGTGCGTGTCGGGCATGGTACCAAGTGCTGGAACGACAGACATGAACCAGAGTCCCCGCCCCCCTGTGTCTCACTCCTTTCTTAATACGGCATCACATTTGCAGGGCTTTTTTTTCTCTTATTTACATTAAAAAGTATCCTCAGACTCAAAATTGATGTTTGCAATTACCTTAAAAAACTATATAGTTTATTAGTATTCACAACTATTTGAGTACTGTGAGACCTAATATAAAGTAGTACATGTGGAGTGTCTTTGAATTATTAAATTCTATGCCATTTGAATTTTATTGAAAATAGGGCCATGATTTGTATCCATGGGAGAATAAGACAAGCCACTTGAAAATTTGCCAGTGAATTTGTAGTTATGCACATTACTGATGTTACTATCATTTTAGCCCTCATTAGTGACTTACTAGTTAAACTTAATATAAAATTTAGACAGAGTAACTAGAATTTATCCATCTGGAAACTATATCAATATATCTCTACTATTAAATATGTGTATATATATATATGCATACACAAATATATACATATTTTTAGAATCCTATTTCAAAAATTGTTTTATTTAATATAATTTACTTGTGAATGTAGATGGATACATGCACAATGAAATCAGCATTTTATGGATATTAACACTTAGTAGGTACCATGAAAAGACCATGTAGTAAGACACAAACTTACACATTCATTTTATTGTTACCGAACTTTAAGTGGGAACTGAGTTACAATCATAGACTTTGGATCAAGGTAAGTACCGGGGCTACTGCATCACCATAGTTGAAACTAGAAAATTTATACATCCTAGCAAAATAAGCTTCCCAGGGTCCTGGATGCTCGAGACAGAGATACAGCCAGACACAGCTGGCCCATTCTCTCCCTTTATTGAGAATGTGGCCATGGTGCTGAGTTTTGCTCAAGGACCAGGAGTAACTAACATTTCAAAACATTCCCATGAGCAAAAGTGCATAGAATTTCTTCACAAGGTCAGTAGAGTAGCAAGAGGTGTTTGTTTATTCAGCTGTGGGGTGGCTGCCTGCATGAAAAGGTCAGCTGCTCACCCATCAGGACCTACAGGTACAAAGGAAATGCCAGGGCCAGCGGACGGCTAAGACGAGATGTGCCGCCAGCCCTCCGGTCCTCGGTCCTCGAGTCACCTTGCTCCCACTAAGTTCTGCTTCCTTGGTCAAATAAAACAGGAAGTTATACCTGGTCTGTATGTCTTCCATCTTTTTCTACAAATCGATAACTTACCTGATATGCAATGATAGTAGAGTCCAGTGAGATCTACCTGCATTAATTTACTTTAAAATTAGAATGTTTTAATAAGTATTTACAACTTGAGGAAAGTATAACATTCTCATTTATTTTACTTGTTCTGCAATAATCAATCCTTGTTTTTCTAATGAAATACAGTGTATTATATATGATAGCTACAATTCTTGAGTTAATTCTTAACTAAATGGATTTATGCCCAGAAAGTGATATTATTTTGGATTGTGATTATTATACCTGAGGTATGGGCATTCATAACCTGTTTACCACAGTGGCTTCATCTACCACCTTGGGCTATGGGAGATGTTTTCACCACCTCAAAGCCCACTGATTTTTGCAGGCTATAGAGGGATATTTGTTCTTCACCCCCAAAGTGGTTGGGAAGAAAATGGACTCATGGTCTTGATTGTCTTCCTTTCTCTGCTTTACACACTTTTTATCCTAAGATATGCTCTGTACACATCAACAATGATTTTTTAGTCAACGATTATTCTATGAAACATGCAAGTTTCGCTGTTACATTTTACTGATGGTTCTTACTAAAGTGATAAAAATATTTTTCTACTATCCTACAGATGCATATACAACCTCAGAGGTCACTTATATTTGGACTTACAATGCATCTGATTCAGTACAAGTTGCTCCCGATGGCTCCAGGTTAAATCAGTATGATCTGTTGGGCCAGTCAATTGGGAAGGAAACAATTAAATCCAGTACAGGTTAGTAAAATGAGTCTGAAGAAGTTAGTTCCTAAGAAAAATTAATGGGTTAAAGTCATTGGAAATGTATCAGTTTGCTTAAAATCTTGGGGGCTTTTTAGAAATTCAGAATCTCAGGCCTGACCCTTTGCTAATTTAGGATCTGTATTTCAACAGGATTCCAAGGAGATTCCTTAGGTGTGCATTGAAGTTTGAGGAATAATAGTCTAACATATACTTCACATTGAAGTGTGTGTCTTCTGACAAGTCAACTTTACTTTCAAATAGTATTAGTTTCCCTAGTGTTCTGATTCCTCTCCCTTTAATCTAGATAGCTTATGATTATTCAACTCTTGGTTTGTAGATTTACTACTGGCCTGCGTGGGGAAGCCGATGTCTGTTCTAAGGGCCCACCTCCTCTAAGAAAGAGCAGTTGTGTGAACTAATGTATTTGCATCCTGCTGATGTAAAGCCAGAGAGCAGGAAGGAAGGTGGCTCTGGGGATGGGATAGAACTGACTGCAGTGAATAAAAGCTTACACGCAGCACTGAGAAATTCAGAACTGGTGGCAGGGTCAACTGGGAAATCTGGACCAGAAGACCAGTCTTGGTGATGTGACTAGAAATCAAAACCTTAAAGGGCCAGAGAGAACTGAACTGGAGGTTGGCACCAGTGTGGATGAGGGACCTCACTAGGTGAAACAGTCTATGGCCAGAGAGGATTCATTAATCCTGTGCTCTTTGGTCAATAAGTATGACCTAGAGAGAAAACAAATTCCATATAATAGACATGCAATGCGAGTTTCTTGGTAATATTAAATCCTATTTTAAATACTCTTGCTATGTTAAGGGGGATTTAAAAGATATATTTTAATGTCATATACATGATACACTCTTTTTTCACACCAGAGACTGCTCTTGCCCTCTAATCCCTTCCATTTCCAAAATGTGCAAACTATTGACTGTTACAGTTTCTTAAGCTTCTTAAATTTTTCTTCTAGGTGAATATACTGTAATGACAGCTCATTTCCACTTGAAAAGAAAAATCGGGTATTTTGTGATTCAGACATACCTGCCTTGCATCATGACTGTCATTCTCTCCCAAGTGTCATTCTGGCTTAACAGAGAATCCGTGCCTGCAAGAACCGTGTTTGGTGAGTGCACAACCACACACTTCGTTGGAAAGCCCATCACGTTTCACAGCACACTTTCAAAAGCATGCTCTTTCTTGATGCTCACACAATAATTTGTGGTGTGTCCAGCAGGAAGTATTGGCTTCATCTTATAGGTGAAGAAACTGAGGCGCGGAGAGGTCAATTGTAGGGTCAGTGCCACAGTGTTAATAAGGAATATAAACAGTACTCAAATCATCTGGAAATATACTCAGTCTACTTCCTGTGGAGTCATTTGCTTCTCAACATTTGTCTCCATGCTAGTGTAAGGAGAATATTGTTAGAAATTTTAATTTAGGGTAAAACTACCACATTTCTAGACTTTCTATATTTATTCTGTTTTCTTTTGTTTTTGATAAACAGAGATGATCTTAAGATTAGAGAGTGAAAGGGAAGGGAAAAAAAGAGAGACGAAGAGACCCCCTCATGTACTACCATTAGTGTGTTTATTTACACATTTACATTTCCTGATTTATCCCAGGTGTGGAAATTGGGTTACTGTTATTTGTATGTATGAACTAGGCTGAACACATTTTATGACAAGATAGATGACTTTTGTGTATTTGGACCACTCAGTCATTTAGGAAAGTTTTATCGAGCATCTACTATACCAGACAATGCACCAAATCCTAGAGTGGAGGATAACAAAATAAGCAGAAGGTGAAGGCATCATAAAAGAGGCAGAATCAAATTGTTACAGGGAACAGCACCAAGATCTCTCTAGGATCAGCTCTAGCTACTACTGATTAAGTAGCTGAGCTAATGTGTGAGCTAAATCTTGAAGGGTGAGTAGGAGATTCTCAGAAAGATGAGCTGGGGCAAGAATTCTAGCCAGGAATGACAGACTGTGTAATGAAATGACATCAAGGGATGAAAGAACATAGTGTGTTTGGTGACAGTGAGTTATTTCCGTGTCAGTAGAGGCACATACAGATAAAAGTATAGTTTAAAGCCTAGAGGAGAAAGACCTTGAAAGCTGTGTCAGTACAATTGACCTTTTTCCTATGGCCTATAATCCTGCAAGCTGCTATGTTTTGAGGCCATCAACATGTATGTGTAAAGCTCTCAGAACAACCCTGCTATTTAATATGTGTTACCTACCTGTTAGCTATTCTTATTATCAATTTAAAAAATAAAAAGCAGTTTGAGTCGAGTCTCAATATCAGCAATGAATAATTGTAAAGGACATTAAGGAAATAATTTCATTTACAGTAATATCCAAAATAATTAAATATCTAGGAATAAATTGAACTGAGTAGCTGAATAAATTGTTCACTTAAAAAGTATAAAAATATAATTGTTCTTATGGAAGACCTAATTAAAAAATGGCATCTGTGGTCACGGATTTGTAGACAATACTGTTAAGAAGAGAATTGTCTTTAAAGCATTCTATAGATTCAATTCAGTATCTATCAAAAGTCAAAATGACCTTTCTGTTAAAGAAAAGGCAAAACTGACCCTCTAATTTACACCAAATTTCAAGGGGGTTCCAAATAAACAAAACAATATTGAGAAAGGAAACAAAGCTGGTGGACCTCTCAGTTTCCACACTCAGCACCAGGCTACCTTATCAGTGTGGTAGTGGCGTAGGCACGGGCACGTAGACCAACATGAAAACGAGTGTCCAGTAGCAAAACCATACATCTCTGGCAAACTGATTTCCAGCAAGGGTCCAAACACCATTCTGTGGAGAGATGGAGGTCTCTTCGTGAAATCTTGCTGGGACTGCTGGATGGCCACCACCTGCCGAACGATGAGGTTGGAACCTGACATCATTCCAGATGCAACAATGAACTCACATGGATACAAAACTTTAATATAATATCTAAAACTATAAAACTATTAGAAGAAGATATAGTATGAATATTCAAGACCTTGGATCTAATAATGGTGTCTTAGGTTTGACACTAACAGCATGAGCAGTAAAGAAAACAATAGGTACATTGAATTTTATTAAAATAAATAAATTCTCACCTCAAAGAATGTTGTCAAGAATGTGACAGACAACTTATATAAGAGAGAAATATTGAAAGTATTTTGAAAATTATATATCTGATAAGGATGTAAAATCCTAAATAAATAAAGAGCTCTTACAACTAAAAAAAAGACTGAACATTAGATTTAAAATATGGACAAAGAACTTAAGAAGACTTTTAACTACAGAAAGTATACATATGGCAAACCAGCACATGGCATAGTGTTCAACATCATTGGACATTCAGGAAATGCAAACTAAAATAATAATAAAATGTATTTTCCTCACACTAGGCTGCCTACCATAATAATAAAAATATGAAATAGGTGTTGGCAAGGAAAAGGAAAAATAAAAACTCTTATATGTTGCTTGTGGAAATGTAAAATGATGCAGCATCTCTGGACAGCAGTTCAGCAGTACCTAAAACAAGGTCACATAGAATTATCATACCCATCCTTTCCACTTCTAGGTACCTACTCAAAATTTCTGAAAACATATGTTCACATGAGAACTTGTACACTGATGTTTATAGTGGCACTGTTCCTAATAGCCAAAAAGTGAAAGGAACCCATATTTTCATCAGCAGATGAATGGATAACCAAAATGTATTATATACTCACAATGGAATATTATTCATCCATAAGAAGATTAATACTTATTCATACTATAACATAATGAACCTCAAAAACTTGCTGAATAAAATAAACCTGACTCAAACAGTTATGTATTGTATGATTCCTTTCATATGAATTATGCAGAATAGGCAAGTCTATAGATACAGAAATTAGTTTAGTAAACAGAGGCAGAGAGAAACAGGAAATGATTACTTAGTAAGAGCAGGATATTCTTCTAAAGTACTGAAAAAGTTTTGAAACTAGAGAGAGGTGGAGATTGCTGAACATTGTGAATGCATAAATGCCACTGAACTGCACACTTTATAATGGTGAGTTGTGCATTATATTAACTTCACCTTAGTAAAATCATCTGGAAAGGCCACGAGTTGAAAAAACAGCATTGAATGTGTACAACAAGATGGCCCAGGATTTAGACTCAGATGGAAGTTCTCAGATACCTATTTCAAAATTTGCACATTATTGAATCAAAGACAAAAAGTTTGATGTGACCAAAAATAGTAACAAGTTTGTTTTCAGATGACTTGAAAAATAAGGTTACATGATTTTCAGAGCACAAATACTACAGAGAAAAATCCCTAAGGAAAAAAATAACACAATAATTAAAAACAGGGAAGAATAGGGCAGAATTGATATTCCAGAAAGATCTAACTTTATATGTAAATATAGGATAAGTCAGACAAAATAAAATAATGTTTGATACAGGTTGTGAGAAGAATAAAATTTTGCATGGAGATAAAGATTTTGTGGTATATATCACATAGATGCATATGTTAAACAAGCGGAGGATGCTGCCTGCCTATAGGAGAGACAAATAGATGAATAAATATTTAAATTTGAGTCCACAGAATGTGTTAGTGTCAAAGCTGCTAGATTTAACTACAACTAATGTACAAAAGTTTTAAAGATTGACAATGAATATAAAATTAAAAATCTAGACTATATTTGAATGTGTAAATTTTTATATGAACTATTTACAATTCAAGTTTAAGGATCAAAAAGTCATCATTTTCATTTAAATTCAGACTGTTAGGTGGTAAAGAAAACCATCCTTGGTATTTTCTCTGCAAGTTATTCTGTGAAAAGCTTGTAATAAACACAATTCCATGTAATCGTGTGTATGTGTATGCAAGTAAAAGATAAACTCAGACTATATATTGTACTTGAAATGGGACTTCAAAGCTGCACAGCCACCTTAGTCAGCCCCCTTATTCTATTCTTCACTGTTCTCTGCCTCCTTTTGAGTTTGAATATCATAACCTGACTGATAGACAGCAGGTACCTAAGCAACATTTCTACTATCTCACATTTTGCTCTCTGAATTCACAGTCATGTTTACAAGCTCATGAGAGATCATTAAATCACCTGCCCTTCTCCTGCCTCCAAGGCTTTCTGTGATGAGTAACCCACCCAAGGAAAAACTATTACAGTTAAGAAATTAATATGCCCTGGGAGACAGATGTCAAATTCCTCGCCCTTTGCGGTCTGGCTTCATGCTGTGAATAGAATAAGAAAACAGAGCAAACAAGGCAGTAAGCAGAGGAGTTGAAATTAAAATGTGTGCTGCTTGATATCAGAGACGTTGCTCCATTATATTTGGTTTTATGTATTTCTTTTTTTAACTTTACTTTTATTGTTGACATTACTGCAGATGTCCACATTTCTCCCCCTTCTCTACCCAACCCTGCCCCCTTTCCCTCTGGCCATCTATTATTATTTTGTACATTGCATTTATTTTATGGCTGTAGATCCGCTTGATATATTTTAAAAATGTCTTCAGTGGGCTCTCCATGTATCTTGCAGTGATAAAAGTCGACTTTGACTTGCTCTGAGTGCTCACGCCCAATGCATTCAGCATCAACAAATATACTGATTTTGAACGGCTATTTTTATCAGTACTGTTCTAGATGCTTGAGATATACCCTTGAACAAAAACCAAATGCAACTTCCTTCATTATGAAGGAGCTGCTCTCTGTCGCCAATAGTATAAAAAAGCACTTGGGAAACTTTAAACTTTATACTTCAGGTTTTGTGTTTTTCAGGCTCCTGTGAATGAACAGTGTATCCACAACGTACAGACCTCATTTTGCGTTTGTACAAGCATATAGATTATACAAAAAAAGTGTATAATGTGCACTTTTTTGCCAGCGCTTTTGAGAGGAAAGTAAGGATGCACATTATATATATGGGTAGTACTAATTCCATATATGTATAAATGTTTTACATTTTTATTTATGCTTTTGCTTTAAAAGTATACTTTAGAAAGCAGTAATGACAGCTGCATGCAAACTAATACCCTGGAATACGGTCATTGGTTTTGCTTCTAAACATGAATAAATCAAGAAATTGAATTGAAAAATTCAAGTGAAAGATAT